TATCCAAATATTTACAAATTCAGATTTTCCCTTATGAAGATGGCCTTTGTTTTATAACTAAACATTATATATAAAACCAAAAAAATCCCATTACCTGGCTTTTTTAATGTAATGCAAAGCTCATTTTATTGGATTTAAATGGTACTTTTCTATTCACTTCTCCAACCTTGCTGTTTCCTAGAACAGTAAAGTTCAAACATAAGAAGTCGCAGCAATAGCCATTTTGGCTGGGGAGTTGAAGTCGTGTATCAGGAGGATGTCCAAGTTGGAGGAAAAGTGAATCTAAAAGCTGTTCTTCATTGCCACAAATAAGAAGGTAAATCTAATAAAAATTAATATTATGATATTAATTGGAAATGATTGGAAATTAATTGGAAATGAAGTATATTTGCTTTTCTTGCATTCTGAAATTTACATGTGTGAGGAGGGTGATTTTTGTAAAAATGATTTTACACTGGTATCATCCTGCTTGTAGAATGATTTCTCCAGAGGGATTTGCACATTGTCTATACTTTCTGACTTTTGTTTTTGTTCTAGCAGTATTTTAATCTTTCAAATAACTTCAGTCTAAAAGTTAGTTGGATCCTTAGTCCTGTTTCTGCTATTTTTCTTCCCTGTTGCTAGTTTTACACTGTATTCTGTTGCTGTTTTTTTTTTAATTCTGCTTTGAATATTTTACCATTTTAGGGTTTTCTAAAAATGACAACAGAATTTTCTATTTCCGTGGTACAGTATAGAAATATCGTAACTACATTTTTCCTTTCCTCCAACCACTCATACCATCTATACCAAATTTTATAGTATTCTATATCCTCTTTTTCTTTGAGTTCTTTTGTCAATTTATCCATCTCTGTGCATTCCAAAATTTTTTTTATCAATTCCTCCTCTGTTGGTGTATTTTCTTTTTCCCAATTTTGGGCAAAAGGAAAAATGAAGAAGAAAAATAAGGGGGAGTTAAAGAAATGTCAAAAACAATGGGAAAAATTGGTAAAATACAATTTAGTGATTGAAATGAAAAAGAGAAATATATTGTAAATGAAATGATGGGGACAGATAGCAATATGGAATAAGATGAAGTAAAATTCGTGGAAATAGTAAATAATAAGGAAGGACCACTATGAAAAAACTGTAAAAAGAGTCTTGTATATAAGTGTTGTATGTCTTGTATTGTTTTACTGTGTTATAATAAATAAACTGCCTGCAATTACTGCGAGTTCAAATCTCACCAGGCTCAAGGTTGACTCAGCCTTCCATCCTTCCGAGGTAGGTAAAATGAGGACCCGGATTGTGGGGGCAATAAGCTGACTTTGTATAAAAAAGAACACAGCTTAGGAGGCTGTATATACCTACTAAGCAGGTATATACAAAAGTATGAAGGCTATTGCTTAACGCATTGTAAGCTGCCCTGAGTCTTCGGAGAAGGGCAGCATATAAATCGAACCAATAAATAAATAAATAAATAAACAAATAAATAAATAAATAAATAAACTTAAAAAAAAAAAGAAATATTGTGACTAAACCAAATAAGCACAAGTTAAACATTAAATTAAAAAAACATTAAGAGAGTTTTTCTACAAATGCCTATGCTGCTTCTGCCTATTTATTTATATATCAAAGTTAGAAATTGCCCATCTCCCTCACAGAGCAGTGGGCAGTGTACAAGTAAAATCTAAAAACATAAAAACTAAATATTATATTAGGAGACAAAAGTAGTTAAAATTCAAAAGGCGGGGAGAGGGCCTTCTTACCAGCTACCATGAAGTTCCTTCTCCCCTTTTTAAGATAAGCCGAAAGTGAATTCTGACCCATGTCAGGAAAGAGAAGAGAAGAATGAATGATGGGACTTGATAAGAAGTAGATAAGGAAGAAGTACTGGGGCAGTTCTTCCTTTTGCTGACTCTGCTGGTAGAGGGGAAAGTCCGTTTTCTAAGTTGCACCATGCATCCTTTTAAATTCCCATTTACCCCCATGGAATATTTATACCAGAAAGGTCCACAAACGTGAATAGTTTCAAAAACTAAAGTATTCCAAACATAGGTAAATCATATTGCTTGTTGCGTGGCTGATTTAGCTGTGACAGGCCTCCCAGAAATAAGAGGTTCCTACCAATTCCAAGAGCAGACCTGGATTGCCCAGATCAGCCTTCCCTCAGGAAATAGTATCCAGTTGTTTTCAATATCACCCCAGCCAGCTCTTCCATTATTTATGATGGTGAAGATGATAGGTTTAGATTAGATGATAGGCAGAATCTGCCTCAACTGGATATTAACCAGATAGAGAAACTTATGTACATGTTGCAGCCTAGTCTTTTAGAACGGTATCAAGACATTTTTCAATAATGCAAGGCTATCCTTTTTCTGTGGGATCGAACTGATGAAATGGGTGATATGGTAAAGTGATGTTGTCAATGGGAGGACTTGGTGTGGTTAGTTATCTTTAGAATTATTATTTTTTTTAAAAAAAAATCTAGGTTGTATTGGTACACAGCAAAGCATGACATGGGGTTTGTTTTGCATCTATTGAATAATAGAGAGAAATACTTTCACCATTTTGTGGTAATCGGTTGTTTGTATTTAGCAACACAATTTCTATAAAATATTAGGGTTTCAGAACGAAGGTTCATGCATTGAACACGGTTTATTTCTACTTTATAGCGAGAGATAATAATAGCAAAAGGTATATAGTCATGAAGGCTCCTTAGAACATGTTCAAAAGCAACAGAGTTTTAACCATTTTTACCAGGACTAGAGACTCATAAAAGATATGAGAATAATTTTCCCAGAGCATTTCAGGAGAAAAAAGCTACAGCTAAACAGACTTATTTTCCTTGATATTTAACAAAATCAATTATTAACATAAGCTTTTTCCAGCTTGAAATTGGTTCTGCATCAATGGGAAAAAAACAGCAAATCAAATGATAAATACATCGTCACTATTGCTCATTCCAAGTGTCCTGGAGTGGATGCAATCAGATAGATGCTGATTGTAAAATCAGTGGCTTTACTTGGCATAGGCAAAGGAGACCCCCCCTCCCCCAAAAAACTCTTTGGATGCCATGTGCAATCACAACTGGAAAGAGCAGTAAAGGGCAGAAGATCAAGATGATGGCTGCATAAAAACAAGGATGTAACCTAGAAATGGATCCAGGAATGGCCTAGAGCTGAACACAAAGGAAGGGAGTGGTACCTAGGAAGGAAGGCTCCTCGTCATTGCTCTGAGTGATGACCAAGCAACTGAGCCCAGGCATCCTGCTGCCTGTTCTCTCTGCAGTGAAATTCATGCCTTACTGTGGTTTTCTTCCAAAGGAAGAAGAATGGAGTTGTCTTTCAAGAAAGGGAAAAAAAAAATCTACTCAACTTCAACTGCCTAAATGAATCCATCTTTTAATAAGCCAGTCTTAACTGATCTGGCGATAACTGGGATAAAGCTCAAGCAATTTCGAATAGTTTGATTGTAGTTCAAATGAACAGACAACTGTAGTTCAGGCTTTATAGAGAAAGAAACGACACAAATTGTGAACACAGGCCCATCGTGTTCAGGAGCTCCACTGAAAAGCTCTGCTGAACCCACCAACTGGCATGACTTTGCAGTGCAGCAGGACCAAATCAAAAAGGCTTTTTACATGCCAGCCTTTCCCAAGCCAAGGCAAGAGAAAACAACTTGACATCCAAGTGGAAAATAAATTGGTGATCACAGTCAGGCCATGCTGATTGATAACTTTCTCTGCTGCAAGGGAATAGGGAGAGATCCTGGAAGCATACATGCATGTGCAGTAAGTAGACTATTTGGGAGTTTGAATCCTCCCATATACCACGAGTAGCTAGGTCACCTTGGGTGGAACCAGACTAATTTTAATTTAATATCTATTAGTTGTGGACAGTGGATGAACCCTAAATTATAGTTTAAAGACTATTGACGTAGATTATTCATCTGCTGGCTGTCTGCAAAGCGACAACTAGATATTTCTTGAATATACACACTTTTTAGTCCCACAATTGTAATAAGCTATTGATAAAATAATGGCTTGTGGCGTTGTGGTTATGAAAGCTGGGGTTTAAGCATAATTGTTCAGCATGGTAACGGCATATATGTGTCTACTCCAAGCAAAATCAATCATGACTCCTCCCCTTAGAGGGTATATTTAGCTCCCGAAATAGCCAAACAATAAAGGACAAAAAACCCCAGAATTATAACAAAAAGAAGCAAACACGGAGACCCCAAGGACAAGCTTCAGGGGCGTTGTCAGACATGTGTAAACAACCTGCAGACTATTTAGTAAGCACCTGCATAATTTGTATTCTTATACTTATGAATGGAACTGAACATGGAGTATTATGGAGGTGGATAGGATGCAGTGGCAATTGCCAGAAAAATTGCTAATGTTGGAAAATCAAATTCAATATCAACTTTTCATCTTTGAGCGAATACTCTGTAGATGGGGATGTGGAGGAGAAAGAGCAGCATAATTTAAAGTTGAATTGACAGAATAATTTTAAGGTTTGGAAAGAGAAGAAAATAACAGGACTTGCAAAGAGATTTGACGGAGAGAAACCGTCAAATGTTGCATTTGCTATGCATTTTTGTTTTGTTTTTCATCTAATTCTAAGAGGTTCCTTTCTTTTTTTCCCAGGAGTCAAACCAATAGCTAGTAGCCACACCCAGTGGCTTCAAGGATGCAAACACAAATAAAAACCTCAAAGCATCTTTCTACCATTATCAATTTTCCCTTGGACAGATGAAGATGCGCCCTTGTTTATGCTGATAGCTTTTAAGCTAACAGGAAAATATAAAATATTCCACCTGGATGGCTCCTTAGCACACAAAAGAGCTGAATTTAAGCGTAAATTCAGCTGGTTTTAAGAGCAACTGGCTCTTGTACCCAAGGACAATCTGCCATCCAGAACAGGCCTTGTTAAGAGGATCAAGAAGTGAGAGCCTTCCGTTTCTGAAGCATTTCCAGACAGATGTACATATTTCTCTCACCTCCAGTATTTGCTTACCCCAATGATGACGGTGTCATCGCCCTGGAAAACCGGGATGAATTTATCTCCCCGTATGATCTCCGACTGATTCAAGGGCCGGAACCTACAGAGCACCTTGATGCTGCATTCATTGAGTTCGGTAGTCATGCTGGCTGGGCAATGGGGCTTTGTCCTGGTGTGCAGCTTTTGTAGCTAGAAGGAGCAAAGAGCAGCAGGAGATGCAATTCCCCAGCAAAATGAGAGACAGGCAAAAGCAGGTTGCGCACAGGCACTCTCGGAGGAAGGATCACAAAGGGGAAGTCTTTCCTAGATTGTCACCCCACAGCAGCAGAGCAGTTGGCTCTCTCAGCTGGGCTGGTAAGTCTTCCGTGCCTGTGGTACCCTGGGATGCTGCTTGCAGTGCCTGTATCCCCCTCCTCCTGCTGCAGGAATCGGCAGCATCAGCATCAGGCAAAGGGTTGGGCTGTAGCTCAGGGTTAATACTTTTAAGGTGGAACAACCCCAGCGCCTTAAGGTGGACATGAATTTTTTTTTTTTTAAAGAACTGCACTTTCCAGCTAGTCTCTTCACTTGATGTTCCAGTTGGTAGCAGTTACTTTGTTCCCTTTATCCTTTCCAGATACAAAACAGTACAGGGACCCTACAGACAATAGATGTATAGAAGAAAAAATACTGAAAACGAGAGTTTGTCATGCAAAGCTTATAAAAGTTAGTTTTCCCCTTTGTACACAGCTGGTAAAATTTTAAAAGCTTCTCCTTTATTTCAGAAATATCCGCAAAAAGAAAAAAAAATCACAATTGAGTGGGACTTGAATGGTGTGGGACTAATTCAAAGCCATCACTGAGAAAACCTAATGCTTATCGTTTATAGAAGACTGGAAATAGCAATGTGTTATTTTTCCTCAATTAATTTGGTTATTTCAGATTGGTTTTAAGAGAACTCCAAAGAAATGGGAATAAGAATTGAGCAGGTCTTTTATAAATTGAAGAAAATATTATTATGGTAGTAAGGACCGAGTAAATATAATTGTAATTGGCAATGCCTGTGGATTGACTTGCTGAAAAGTGCTTCCAACTCATTATGTAGGAATGAGGCTTAACATGGTAGTATCCTTACTGTATTCAACCAATAATAAGATTGATTAATCCATGAAGTCCTCACAATAAGCAATATAATTCTTGCATATGTTTATATGACTAAGCAATGAGTGACAATACTATGAGAAACAGAACTTGTGAAGAAAAGGACAAATCATTTCTCAATTTTGTTTTGATTCTCACCTTATGACCATATAGAGCATAGAGACAGAACTGGAGTTACTTGACCTGAAAATGAATGGTGAGTATGTCCTGCAGTGACTGCAAATAGCTTCTCTTCTAGTGTCTAGTCATAGACCATAATGGAATTACATAATAGAATAATGTCTACAAGACAACTATCTGCTCAGTCCAGTGCTTGAAATAAAAGTTGACAATTCTTTTCCAAATGAGTGATCGAACCAGACATATGTTCTCCTTTCCTTTTTCTTTTAAAGACTATGACTTATTAATTTAGGGGTGAATATTCTGTTCCTAGTTATTTAAAACTTTTTGATTGGTTTTTCAACAGACTTTTTAGTGTGCTGTCAAGAAGTGCTCATATTTTCACAGGCTTGAGTTTAGTTCAAGTCTAAGTTCCCAAATATTTGGGGCTGGTAGATATACTTGGAATGAAACCATATCCTTGGTATTCTCACAAAATAACTGTCACAGTGGCACAGCAAGCCAGTGACCGCTAGAAGCCAAATGAATGATATTGCTACTCACCATTACCTGTGGCTTCCTGGAATGATGTCCACTCTTCCTCTTATTTCTGGAATATTTTCAAACATTGCTTGTTGCTGGTGCCTCCCATTTTTTCTTGTTTTCTAACGATTTGTTTGGTGTACTGTATTTGAAGAGTCCAAAGAGCCCCCAAGCACTCTCATTAGTCAGTCTTTGCTTTGCTGCCTGCTGATTTCCTTTAAAAAAAATACTGAATCTTTAAATAAAGGAAGAACAAAGAGCCTGTGGATAGAACAGTAGATATTCTAAAGGCACCATTTTGAGAACCCAGCGTATATTGCTTGGTGCCCAAATGTTCCTTAAAAGTCCTGGCATTAGAAAAAAATGTAGGATTGCTCTACGGTTAATAAGCCAAATAGGATTAACATACATTTCAGCATAGGCACAATGATCTCAAGAAGAATGGGATCAGAGGTGAAATTCAGCAGGTTCTGGCACGTTCTGGAGAACCAGTAGTGGAAGTTTTGAGTAGTTTGGAGAACTGGCAAATACCAGCTCTGGCTGGCCCCAGAGTGGGGTGGGAATGGAGAATATCCTTCCCCTGCCATGCCCACCAAGCCACGCCCATCAAGCCACACCACACCCACCAAGCCACAGCCACAGAACCGGTAGTAAAAAAATTTGAATTTCACCATTGAATGGGATCTAACATGGGCTAAATTAACAGATCATCTACCACTTTCAAAATCCTGCTAGCTTATGTGGAGAAAGATTCTTGTTGCCTTTATTATTATTATTATTATTTTTCAAATGTCCTCTTCTTTTGAACATAACCATTAATGGCTACACCTTGTGACTTTAGCTAAAAGAAAGCTAAGCAGGGTCAGACCAAGTTTGTACTAGGAAATCCCATCCTAGGATGGGAAGCTGAAAAACATCATGGTAAGCAATGACAAACCATTTCCATTCATTGCCAAGACATTACCTATGTGCATTAAGTCACCAGAAACAGATCTTTTCTCAAAGAAGACTTTTTTTAACAATTCATGGACTAAACCACAGGTTGGAACAGGAATGGAACCCAGTCCTAGAATTGAAGAGTGAATCAGTTTTATTGATCTAGTGGCTTCTAGGCTGCATCTGTTGTTATTATTTCCCTGACAAGGACCACCCATGCTGGCAATTCATCCTTGCATAATTTTCTAACTGGACCATCCAGATAAAAGTTCCCCTCTTGCTGATGAAACTCCTTTCTAGCAGGGCTTTCTGCCCGTGTCTAACCTTCAAATGACATTATGTCTAAGCTGTATTTTTTCTCCTGTTAAATTACATAAGGAAATCTATGAAAACCATCTATGTACTTATTTATTTATTTATTTATTTATTTATATTAATTTAATTTTTATACCGCCCTTCTCCCGAAAGACTCAGGGTGATGCACAGCCAAAGATAAAGATAAGGTACTCATGTATATAAGGTACTCATTATATAGTACTGGGCCTTAATGTATAATATTAAAAATGTATATAAGTTTAAATAAGAAAGCCATGTGAATCAGCTTTTATTTATGTCAAGAGATCATAGGCTGATAACAACATTTGTTCAGACTAAAGCACAGGTTTGGGGTACACAGAATTTCTCATGGGGCTTAACCAGGCAATAATTGTCATGCAATATGTTATAAATCCAGTCCTCTATTAAGTACTGCAGGAATACAGTTGAAATTGGCTACATAACCGGAGTGATTCCTACCATCCCCTTTCTCTAAGCTTCTAAGTAATGGCCCAGCCAGGAAGATATGCATACAGTAAAACCTTTTAATCATCACCACTGCTTACGCTTCCAAGAAACAGAGAGCCATTTGGGCAGATATTGCAAAAACAGCAGAAATCAGAGGAAGTCTTGACACATGAAGATGTAACGATAGCAGAAGTGCTATCGTTACATCTTTTTTTGCAGCAGGCAAAAAGACAAGAGCAGAACTAAAATAATTGGCAAAGAGGGTTCTTTTTCTTCCAGATGGATTGAACTAAATGAAGCTTTAAAAAGGGACGGCTGAGGTGAAGTCTGTGGCCTGTTTGCAGGTCTTTGAGACATCGGGTAGGATACTGAGGAAAACGCCAGATGCCTAATTAAATGGCCCTTCTTCTGATTCAATCTGGAACGACGATTCTTATGGTATTGTGGGAAGGCCCCACCCCCACCCCCAGAAGAATGAAATATTTGGGGAAATATTTAAAAAAAAGGCAGAATATTATATTTCCCCTAAAGGAGAAATGAAAAAAATCTTAAGGGAGGCAGAAACCAGCCCCAGGTTCCCTGCCCCAAGGAGAAACTGAGGAGGCCAGCTTTTAGAAATGCAGATTTGGTAATCCATTCAGAAAGATTGGGTCAAGACAGAAACTCAAATAAGCAACAAACAAAAGGTTGATAAAATTAGCTCAGACAAACACCTAGGATTTGCATTTCCTCTTTTGCCTATAGAACCAGCTATGACCCTTACATGACCCCCATAGGAATCCAGAAGGTATAAAAACCCACCCACTCTAAACTCCATTTTGTCAGCTGCCCAGAATTACATATGGTTGATGGTTCTGCTTCATCAATAAATGGAACCTTTCTTTCCTATCAGCCTCCAGCATCCATTTTGTTTCCAATGCCTTTCTCCCGGCTTGGAACTGAACCAGATGGATTTTCCTTCCAACAGTATATACAGTGCTATGTGTTCAGTGTTATATTTTAGCACAGTAGCCATATGCTGCAGCATTAAACAGAGGAATGCAGGGCACTGTAAAATAATCAGCTTGATGATAGACAAGGACTGAGGAGGCCATGCTAAAACTGCTACTCAAGAGTTACAGATAGCTTAGTGAATTGGGGCCTCTGAATAATCTGCCCCACAGCATTGCTTTGAGAAGCTATGCATGGGAGAACACAAAATGAGAGAAGCCAAGAATGGTACTTTAGTCTCCCTGAAGGCCAGTTAGATATATGTAACTTACGTGTTATATGTAATTTAGATATTTGTGTATATTTGGAAAGAAACCACACTGTACTTTATGGATTTTGCTCACTAGTTCAAGAATGGAAGTAATTGAATGCTTTCATTTGCTAGCAAACCTTACAAAAACCTCCACTGAATTTGAAAGGGTTTTGTATATCATGTGTGCATATATTGCAACAATGCTTAATGTGTAAATAAATGAACAATTTTAAAAAATGTAACCACAACCTATTAACTTAATTCTATCCCCAAAAGGAGTTTGAGAACTACATTTTAATCATTTTACATATTTTAATTGATACATTGTTTCCAAGAGATTCGAAATGTTAAAATGATCAAATGTTTACCTAGTAAAAACCAATTTAGCACAGGTGGAATACTGAATGCTGAAAATTAAAACAAAATAAGAACAAAATTTGAACATCTAATGAAGGAAGCACTGGAGACTTAATATGAGAAATGCTTTAATTATATCTATAGCACATATAACTATGTATGTTATATATGTATGTATGTATGTATGTCTATAGTGAACATATAAATAATATAAAACGTTTGTGCAGAAAGAGAACTCTTCAAAGGAGATGTTTTGTTTGATTTTTTTTTTATCAGCAAAGTGAAGTAGCTGTATATTGTATGGAGATGATGCATGTGAAAATAGCCATGAGCAGGTTAAAAGCAGTCATGTGAATCT